TGACGGAGTCCATGGGTTTGCAAAGAGCCGAACATGACTGAGCACACACACACAGTTCCACCAATAGCCTGCCTGCTTCTCTGCTCCAAATCTGCCCCACCTCTGTCCCCACTCCCTGGTGCTTAAGAACTTCATCTTTTGAGACTTCCCTGGCAGTCCTGTGGTTAAGACACTACACTTCCACTGCAGGAGGCACATGTTTGATCTTTGGTCAGGGAACTAGGCCCACATGCTGCAAAAGAAAAAACACCATCATCTTTGTTTAGCCAAATTTCTCTGCCTGGAAAGAAAGGACAGGGGCTCTTTTTTATTGCGCCAAGGGTCATATACCAATGCAGGTAGAGCCAAGGGAAGGAAGCCCAGTTATAGTCTGTCAGTGCCAGTTTCCCCAGTATCCTTGCTGGCCAGCTTCATCCTGCCCTCTCACAAGCCAGCAGGGTTCCCTGTGTGTCTCCTAGGCTGTCAGGAGCAGGGGAATCAATGTGGACTCGTCTTCTTTTTATGTATTTATTTCTGGCTGCACTGGCTCTTCATTGCCGCACACGGGCTTTCTCTTCTCTAGTTGCAACAAGTGGGGGCTACTCTCTAGTTGCAGTGCGTGGGCTTCTGATTGCTATGGCTTTTCTTGTTGCAGAGCAAGGGCTCTGGGGCGTGGGCTCAACAGCTGTGGTTCCTGGGCTCTATGACACAGGCTCAGCAGTGGTGTACAGGCTTAGTTGCCCCACTGCACGTGGGATCCTCCCGGGACCCACATCACTGGCATTGGCAGGCGGATTCTCCCCCACTGAGCCACCAGAGAAGCCCTGGACTCGTTTTCTTGACCAGAGAAGCGGCCCCGGAATCCTGTGCCTGGATCTCCTTTTACAGAGACAGCTGTGATTGTGCACACCCTCAGCTGAGACAAAACAGGGAGCAAATAGATCCTTACCTTTCACCAAGACTTGGTTTTCTGATTTTGGAGCCGTTTTTTGATGGGATGTAACTTGATATTATTTGACCAAATGCATGCTTTTTCTCTCTCTGCTTTACGACTTTTAATTTTTTTAATTATTTTTTAATCGTTATTTATTTTTTTTTACAGTAAGTCCTTATTGGTTATCCATTTTAAACATAGCCGTGTGTACATATCAAATCCTAAACCAAAGACATGTTTTTAAACTCCTGATGAGGGAAAGCCCTAGATTTAGACCCAGGCTCCCAGTGCATGGGTTCTAAATCCTGAGAAACCCTAGTCTATGGGAGTAGGCTATATGTCTGGGTATAAATTTGCTATAAATTTATTTTCCTTTGCCTTTCTGATGTATCTCATCTTTTTTTCTCTTTTACTTCCATTGTATTGTTGCTAAAAATAAAGGAAGTAGTAGTGTTATTTGTGTGTTAGTTGCTCAGTCGTGCCCAACTATTTGCAACCCCATGGACTGTAGCCTGCCAGCCTCCTCTGTCCATGGAATTCTCCAGGCAAGAATACTGGAGTGGGTTGCCATTCCTTTCTCCAGCAGACCTTCCTGACCCAGAGATTGAACCCAGGTCTCCTGCCTTGCAGGCAGATTCTTTACCATCTGAGCCACCAGGGAAACACCAGGAAGCTACTTGCCCGGGGCCTTTTATCGTGTTTATTGTACTTCTGCTGGTCTCTCTGTGAGGTCAGAAAGGTATATCTTTACTTCTTCAGCTTAGAACTTTCTGGCCTCTTGGGTTTGGGAAAATCAAAGAATTTCCCTAAAGGAAACTCTGATAAAGAGCCAGCAGCATTGCTTTGTGTTATGGTGAGGTGCCAGAAGGAAAGGAGTGCCCACACAGTGGGCGCTGAAGACCTCTCCTACAGGCCGGCCGCAGTGCCTGCCAGATGGAGCAGGCTGCTCTGGGAGAGAAGGGGAGGGGAGAATGGAAGGAAGGTTCCACCCCTTCCCCTCGCAGAATTAATGGCTGTTTTTCAGCATGCGATGAGTTAGGGCATGCCTCTGAAACACTGTTTCAGCATGCGATGAGTTAGGGCATGCCTCTGAAGCACTGCCCATATGAGCCACAGAGCAGAGGGTGGGAGGCAGGACAAGCCTTGGGGGTCACAGCGTGAAAACAAGAAGGCATGTGGTGGCATCAGGGCAGCTTCCGTGTTCCTCGCAGCCAGCCCTTGGCGTCTCGGTCAGGTACACACAAGATCAGAATTTTAGCAGGGTTGGAAAAAGATGACTTCTGACTCTGTGTACCAAATGTGGTGTATGAATTTAAGTGTGGTAAGAGAATCTATCTTGCATTTTTGACATTTCTAGAAGTGCAAGGGTTATGGAGTGGTCAAGGTGTCCTGTCTAAATTATGTGAAACTCCCCTTGGAGGTCACATTCATTCTGTTCTCTTCCAACTGGCTGGAAGCCTGGATGTTACCTGCGTGATTAACTTTCCCTTGTAAAATTCTCATCCTAGAAATTAGAATAAAGGGTTAATTTCTGAAACTAAGACCTCCTTTGTAAGGTGAGGTGGTTTTTCTTAGCTCAAAGACATCTTCCCCTTTGATAAGAGTACATTGTTTGCCAGGCTTTTGAGATTTCTTCTATGGTCACTCTTCATGCTTAGCGACAGAGTTCACGTGCTTCTAAACATGACACTTAGAAAATGTGTGTTTGGGGTGACTCAGGGCGTTTTCTTGAGTGTCTGGTCAGGGCAGCCCCAGCGCTCGGTGTCCCCGCTGAGTGCCCAGTGTGCATCCAGTGTCTGGTTTGTAGGCTGTCTCTCTGGCTCTGTTGCGCCTTGGCTGCAGCGTGAAGCATCTTCATGTCATCTGGGATCTCTGTGGGCCCTGCAGCTGTGGCACGCGGGCATTAGTTGCTCCTCAGCATGTGGGGTCTTAGTTCTCCGACCAGGGATTGAACCCACATTCCCTACGTTGCAAGACAGACTCTCCATCACTGCACCACCAGAGAAGCCCCTGGCTTCAGGTTTAATATCCACATAGCTGTGAATTTTCCAGTTTTTCTTCTGCTGTTGCTTTCTAGCTTCATTCCATTGCAATCAGAAAAGATACTTTGGGGGAAAAAAAGAAAGCATACTTTATATAATTTGTCTTTTAAATTGTTAGGACTTATTTTGTGTCCAGCATATGGCTATCTTGGAGAATGTTCCTTGATCACTTGAGAAAAATGTGTATTCTGCTACTGGGCAGTGTTCTGTATACGTCTGTCAGTTACAGTTGGTCTACAGTGTAGTTCAGGTTCTCTTTCCTTCCTGATCTGTCTGGTTGTCCTCCAGGCACGAGAAGCCTGGCAGGCTGCAGTCCATAAGGCCTCGCAGTCAGACACGACTGAAGCAACGTGGCATGCCTGCGTGCTGGTCCTTCTGCCCCTTGTTGGAGGGGGAGTATTGAGGTCTCCTCCTGTGACTGCAGATCTTTTTCTCTCTTCGCTTCTGTCAGTGTGCACTTCATATATCTAGCAGCTCTGATGTTTATTGTGTATGTTTATAATTGTTATGTTTTCTTAATGAATTGGCCCTCTCATCATTATATAACATCTTTCATTGTCTCGTAACAGCTTTTTGGCTTTCAAGTCTCTTGTCTGATATCAGTATATCTGAGCAGTATATCTTCTCTGTTTACTATTTGTATGGAGTATCTTTAACTGTCCTTTTATTTTCAACCTATGAATGTGCTTACATCTAAAGTGGGTCTCTTGTAGATAGATTGGATCCTGTTTTTAAAAAAATCTCTTCTGCCAATCTGTGTCTTTGGATTGAGGAGTTTAATCCACTTATATTTAAAGTGATTGCTAATGTGGAAGGACTCAATTCTATTTTGTTACCCATTTTCTGTACATCGTAAGTTTTCTTCTTGTCCCTCACATCCCCCCTTACTGCCATCTTTTGTTTTAATTGACATTTTCCCAGTGATCCATTTTGATTCCCTTTTCATTACCTTTTGTGTATAGATTTTTTTCTTTCTAGTTGCCATGAAAATTACATACAACATCCTAAAGTTCTTACGGTCTATTTTAAACTGATATCAGCTTACCTTCAATATTGAAATATTTTTGTTCTCGAACACTTACTATGTACCGGACATTCCCTTAAGCTTGCCACATTTACCTCATTTTAATCTTTTTAATAACCTGAAATGCAGGTATGACTATCTGTGTTCTACAAATGAAGAAACCAAAACTCAAGGATAAAATGAACTCCAAAGCACATAGCTTGGAAGTAGCAAAGTCGGAATTCAGTCTGATCTGTCACACCCTCCTGTGTCCCACCCAGCACTGTGAAAAGCTTGAACTCGTGTTTCCTCTGCATTCATCACAGCGGGTGGGGGTGGCAACACGGCTTTGTTAAAACTTGCAGCTGACTAGTCCCGTTCTTTCTAATTGATGACTTTTATTTTTTATTTGACATTTGACATGGATGTGTATGCAAATGTGGAACAGAAATTGTAACTCAAAGTTGTGACTTGAAAGTATACACATAAAAATAAAAGTTTTCTGAAGTTTAACATGGCCAACTTATAGTTAATGTTATAGTTAACTTATATAACATTAACTTAGACTTAACATTAAGGAAATTTTCCTTAACATTCTTTTCAATAATTAAGCAAAACTCAGAACTCTTCATTAGAGTAATGAGTATACATTTAAAAAGCACCACCAAAAAATAATAATAATAATGAAATAAAATTAAAAGCACCACCAGTTCAGTTCAGTCACGTTCAGTCGCTCAGTCATATCTGACTCTTTGCGACCCCGTGGACTGCAGCACACCAGGCTTCCCTGTCCATCACCAACTCCGAGAGCTTACTCAAACTCATGTCCATTGAGCTGGTGATGTCATCCAACCATCTCATCCTCTCTCTTCTCCTTCTCCTCCCACCTTCAATCTTTCCCAGCATCAGGGTCTTTTCCAATGAGTCAGTTCTTTGCGTCAGGTGGCCAAAGTATTGGAGCTTCAGCTTCAGCACCATAGGTTGGATCATAGGGGATTGCTTAATGAGTATATTAAACAATGTATTCTTTCTTCTTCAATAGCCTACTACCAGAAACATTAATTGGAAGCATGTGCTGCGTTCATTTGTTGATATTTTATCGCCAGATTCTTGGAGATGTTCTCCTGAAAGACAGGATGAGCCTGAGCAGTGCAGGTGAGACATCTTTGTAGTTTCCTCACTTGTAACAGTGCCCCATGCTTTGAGTAAATGTAACCCCTACCAGCCTGTATCTTCTGCTTCTGAAGGTGACAGTTGGAATAAAATATTGAGAAGAGCATCAGTGACCATCAGTGACTTCATATGCAGTCTTGTGCTCAGCATGCATCCTATGAGTTCAGTATGTGTTCTGTTCTTTACCATATGCACTTTTCACATCTTAAAATCCGGAGACTTGAGATCCAAATTTCATATATAATCATATTTTTCCCTTAATGTCTTTAATAATGTTTTTACTGGGTGTTTGGTATACATATCCTCTTTTTGGGAAGAGAACAAATTACCCCCAGATAACTGGTTTTAATGCAAGAAGTTTAAACATCAGTAAAATTGGTGAGACCAAGTGAGAGGTATTCATGGGTTCTATATTGCAACTTTTTTGTCAGCTTGAAACTTTTTCCCAGTAAAATGTTTAAAAGTAACTTTAAAAAAATCAGTGAGTTGTCACACATGATTGAACTTGGCCAGAGATTGGCATGTGTTGTAAGAATTCCCTCTAAAAAAGTTTCGTTTTATTGGATATTCTTTATTGAGTGGGTACTACACACCAGGGCCGCGCATCATTATCCTGGTGGAGCCACAAACTTCAAACACAAAATTATGTGAATAATCCTTTTTAACCTTAAATGTTCTGAAGGGAAATACACAATAAGAGCATACACTAGGAAGACCTGAATTAATGTGTGGGATGAAGGAAGGCTTTTCCAAGCAAGGAATATGTAAGACCTGAGACAGGAATGATACTTACAGGGGAGATGGGTGGGCTTGGATCCCTCTGGCTAGAAGGACCAGCGTGTCTGAAGACCCAAGGCAAGAAAATGCTGAGTGCGCTGGAGGAATTGAAATTGAAAGCAGGCAGTGTGGCTGGAATGGAGTAAGGAGAGAGAACCCCAGGATGGCTTAGCACTCGTGGACAGGCGGAGTTCATGGTTAGACACAAGTTCTCTCCCGGAGACGCACTACCTGGGTAGGCAAGTAGAAATGGAACTCAGAGAATTACCAGCATTCCTCAGGGAATAATTATAACTCTAACGGAAGCAGTTTAAGCCTTTCAGTCATCACATGCCTTTGAATTGGTTTCAGTGACTCTAGAAAAACTTCATGAATGACATGACGCCTTAAAGAGGATAAGGCTTATTAGGTTTTTTTATAGGTAAGAAGGCGACTCAAAAGTGTTGACTTTATTTGGATCTGAGCATCCGAATAAGCCTAGTAAGACCTAGAGGAAGGATTTTTCTCAGCCGAGAACACAGGCTGTGGCAGTCACCGCCCTCGCCGCTTGCGGGGCGCCCTTCCGGGTGCGTGTCTCTGCACGCGCCCTTGTGGACTGTGAGATATCAGGGTCCTCCTGCACAGTATGCAGGCGCACGGCCATCTCCTGGCGCCTTTCAGTGTCACCGCCGCCATCGAGGTCCTCCCGAGCAACGGGGGACTGCAGTCAGGCCAGACCCGCCCGCCCTCGCCTCCTTTCCCGGGGTGCCTGCTGGTTCCCGCTCAGCCTTCTGAGGGCATGGGTGCCTTGTAATTGGAAGATTCCTCTTACCGCACCACACTTCAGTCATGAGGAGGAAAGGGAGGTAGGGAAAAAAACACAGAAAGAAAATCAGGATTTTCCAGTCTCACTCTGTTCAAAGCCACCTTGCTCCCATCCTGAAAGCTCTACTTGATACCAGACTCATTTCGGAACCCCTGGGTTGTGGATGTGGAGACAGGTGGGGATTGGGGGGGACAGCTTCCAGCCCTCCAAGAGGTTGAAATGGGTAGAGTGTATAATCAGCAAATCATGTGGCACAGTAATTTCAATCTGAATGAATATTTGTATGTCTACTGCCATAAGTTACGTTGGATGAAGCTTATATAAAATCCTTCCTGTTCTTTTGTATTTCAGATTTAATTAGTAATCCAGTGCTGGCCACCTTCCCCAAGCTCTTGGAGGAGTCAGACATAATGGATGCACTCAGGGTGGGTACTATGTGTCATGATGGAGGCCTGCTGGGTCCCAGAAGGTCTTCAGTTCATACTTTTGTGGGGCTAATTGAACTCTGGGTGTTTTATTTCTTTTAAGAAGCTTTTCTGAAACCTTGTGCACAGATTAGAAATATTTACTTGCAAGTGAAAGTGAAAGTGTTGGTCGCTCAGCGTGACCAACTCTCTGTGACCCCATGGACTATAGCCCCCCAGGCTCCTCTGTCCGTGGGATTCTCCAGGCCAGAATGCTGGGGTGGGTGGCCATTCCCTCCTCCAGGGCATCTTCCCGGCCCAGGGATGGAACCCCGGGCTCCTGCATTGCAGGCAGGCTCTTTACTGTCTGAGCCACCAGGCAAACCTGTTAAATTAGTTCCTACTTGTAGCTTGTGAAGAATCGCTTGCTGATACTTTCCGCCTACTCCATCTGGGTTGGGTCCCTAGGACATGATGCCTAACTCGAGATCCACTGCTCACATGAGCCGGTTCTATATGTCATTTTTAACCCTGCCTGCAGAGATGTGGCAAAGACTTGCGAATACTCAGATTAATCTAGTGTTTCTGTTTGCTTTTTAGAGTTCCTGGGCTGAGAAAGAGAGTACGTTAAAAAGATCAGAGAAGGTAACGTGATGGTCCACCCCAGACTTCACAGTTCTGTGCTCAGTGTTGGCTACGCATCCTAACCGCACGTCTTCTTTAGCTGAAGTGGCCATACTCACAGTCCCTGTTGACAGTTCAACCTTGTTATTATGGTTCCAAAGGCACCTTCAGAGAAGGCTATGGGTGATGGATTCTAAGCATTTAAAAAAGCACTTGATCAAGACAGTCATTTCAGACACACTTTTTTTTTTCCTTTCAATTTTTAGTGTCTTTATCTTCTCCCATGTTCCTCGGGGAGACTTTTTTTTCTGTTTCTTTTTTATTTTTTAAATTATGAAAGTATGGTAACACATTTACAGGAAACTTGGAAATATAGAGCAAAGTTACATACAATTCCACTGTATATTACAGTTATTTTTTTAAGTAGATACATTAAGATTTTTAGTTGGTGTTTCAATATCAAGCTCTCAAAAATGAATAGAATGAATATGCAGGAAAGTAGAAGGATATAGTAGACCTAAAAAACACCATGAACCAATTCAACATAATTGAGATGTATATAATTTTCACACAACAGTAGGCTACAAATTCTATTCAGCTTCCCATAGACTATAGGAGACGCTGGAACATATCCAGAGACATAAAACAAGTACAAAAATTTGATGGTATAAAGGTATTGAAATCATACAGAGTCTGTTCTTTTATGTTTCTAACTGTGGAATTATGTTAGAAATCAATATCAAAAATCTTTGAAAATAACCCACCTATTTTCAAGTGCAACGTGACATTTACCAAGAGAGTCAGACCACTGAGTTTTATTGAATTGAGGGGAAGTTTCTAAGCCAAAATATTCCAGCTGCCTATCAAAGTTCTCTCATTAAAAAAAAAAAAAAAAAAATCCCCTGGCTCTCAAAGTCCATATCAGATACAGAGAAGTAAGAGGAAAATTGGCATAAGCTGCGCCTTACATTGAAAGCACGCGTGACTGTGCGTCCGTGGCCCAGAGCGTGTCGTTACCAAACTGAGCTCGCAGCCATCCGTGTGCAGTGGCTTGACTGCTCTAGTCCAAGACTGACAAAGTTTTTTGGTAAAGGGCCAGAGAGTCAATATTTTTGGCCTTGCAGGCCACATGCTCTCTGTCTCAAATACCCAGCTCTGCCTTTGTAATGCAAGGCAGCTACAGGCCGTATTAAACACCTGAGTAGGACTGGTTCTCTAAGACTATAAAAAGAGATGGAGGTGGGCTGCATGGGGCCCATGGTCCACGGTTTTTGGACTTTTAATCTGAACTTTTCATTGTCCTCAAGCAACATGGGAGAACAAAGAAAGACACTAAAAATTGAAAGGAAAAAAAAGGTGTATGTACTGTATCTTTATTTGAGCTTCCGTTCGACCCAAATTGGCAGGTTTAATGCTGTTCTTGCTCAGTAGTGGACAGGTGCTGGGCCTCGGGCCTGTAGAAGCCGCCTCTCCAGCTCCCCCTGGAGGGGTCGTATCTCAGTGCAAACCTCCTGCGCTCCTGCAATGCCCGCCTGAGCTGTGGAGCCGGGCTGCCTGCCCTTGGGATGTCGCCTGGCTCCTGTTCTGGGGGAGGAGGGGTTGACAAGACATCCTTACTCCTTGGGCTCCTTTCTCTGGATTTCAGCCAGGGCCCTTGCTACGCTTCTCCTGTGATGCCTTGAGCTAACTCAGTGATCCAGCTGGCTTCACACTGTTTTCTTAGTTCCATGTACCTGGAACCGCACCCTTGGCCCCAGAATTAGACTCCATGCCCCTGTCTCCTTGGTGGAATGTGCGAGACCCTCAGTGGAGCTCAGTGGGCACCCTGGGTTCAAGGAGTCCCTCTCAGACCCTCAGAGAGAGCCTCTCGTTTGTCCCCGAGGTGACCCCTGCTGGGTCCATGTCCTGACCGAACAGCTGGTTCAGAGCCCACCACCTGCCAGGAGTCCCCAGCACCTCCATCCCACCGCCCCCCTCAACGGCTTCCAGTTAACAGAGTCCCCAGATGCAACAGCTGAGAGGTGACGGCATGGGCCCGCTCACAGTGGCTGTCGTGGCCGGTGTTTTCCAGAGAGACAGGGAGCTGCTGGCGGCCGTGTTCCTGCTGGTCTACCACGACCGCGTGCTCCCCCTGCTGCGCTGCGCGCCCCTGCCCCCGTTCAGGTGGGCCGAGGAGGAGGCTGCGGCTGCCCGGTGGAAGGTCATCGCCGACTTCCTCCAGCAGCACCAGGGAACTGAGGGCGCCCTCCAGGCTCTGCTCTCGCCGGAGGGGGTCCATGAACCTTTCGACATTTCCGAGCAGACCTATGACTTCTTGGGTGAAAGAAGAAAGAACATAGCCTGACAGCAGTGGCCTCTGACCCTCAGCTTCCCGCTGAACATGATAGACCCTCCACGAGGCCCTGCATCACGTGGCCAAACCAGAACTAACGGTCCCGTCACTTTTCTCTACTGGCCACATTCTACAGGAAATGTTTATCTGATAATTTGAATATGTGTCATACAGTAAAGCAAATTTTTATAAGTAATAATTTAAAGAGAATTTTTTTTTCAAAAAACAACTGCTACATTTCTTTTAAAATTGAGTGTAGTTGAGTATAGTATGTTGAGGATGAGATGGTTAAGACAGCATCACTGACTGAATGGACATGAGTCTGAGCAAACTCTGGGAGACAGTGAAGGACAGGGAAGCCTGGCGTGCTGCCATCCGTGGGGTCATAACGTGTCGAACACAACTTAGTGGCGGAACAACAGCAACGGGGTTGATGTGAAATGTGAAAGTTTCAGGTATACAGCATAGTGATTGACAGTTTTTTAAAAGTACGTTCTATTTAAAGCTGTTATAAAATACTGGCTATGTTCCCTGTGTTGTACAATATGTCCTTGTACTATGTTTATTTTACACTTCATACTTCTATCTCTTAATCCCCTACCCCTGCCTTTCTCATCCCCGTTTTCCTCTCCCCACTGCTAACACTAGTTTGTTCTCTGTCTGTTTCTTTTTTTCAGTGGATGTATAATTGATTTCAATGTTGTGTTAATTTCTTCTGTAGAGCAGAGTGACTCAATGACACATACATATATACATTCTTTTTTAATATTCTTTCCCCTTACAGTTTATCATACGATATTGGATATAGGTCCTTGTGCTATGTTCTGGACCCATTGTCCCTCCATTCTATATGTAATTTGTTATTTAGTGACTAAGTCATGTCTGACTTTTTGCAACCACACAGACTGTAACCCACCAGGCACTTTTTTTTTTTTTTTTCATTTATTTTTATTAGTTGGAGGCTAATTACTTTACATCATTGCAGTGGTTTTTGTCATACATTGAAATGAATTAGCCATGGATTTACATGTATTCCCCATCCCGGTCCCCCCTCCCACCTCCCTCTCCACCCGATCCCTCTGGGTCTTCCCAGTGCACCAGGCCCGAGCACTTGTCTCATGCACCCAACCTGGGCTGGTGATCTGTTTCACCCTAGATAATATACGTGTTTCGATGCTGTTCTCTTGAAACATCCCACCCTCGCCTTCTCCCAGAGTCCACAAGTCTGTTCTATACATCAGAGTCTCTTTTTCTGTTTTGCATATAGGGTTATCGTTACCATCTTTCTAAATTCCATATATATGTGTTAGTATACTGTAATGGTCTTTATCTTTCTGGCTTACTTCGCTCTGTATAATGGGCTCCAGTTTCATCCATCTCATTAGAACTGATTCAAATGAATTCTTTTTAATGGCTGAGTAATATTCCATGGTGTATATGTACCACAGCTTCCTCATCCATTCGTCTGCTGATGGGCATCTAGGTTGCTTCCATGTCCTGGCTATTATAAACAGTGCTGCGATGAACATTGGGGTGCACGTGTCTCTTTCAGATCTGCCCACCAGGCACTTCTGTCCGTGGGATTTCCCAGGCAAGAATACTGGAGTGGGTTGCCATTTCCTTCTCCAGGGGATCTTCCTGACCCACAGATTGAACCTGCATCTCCTACACTGGCAGGCAGATTCTTTACCACTGAGCCAGCAGGGAGGCCCTTCTATGTGTAACACCAACTAACATTTAAGTTGACTATATCTATACATTTGTATAAAAGCAAGATTTTATCAAAACTCAAATATTTATGATTATTCAAGAAAGTGAAAATATTATCCACAGAATAGGAGAAGATATTTACAAATAATATATCTGGTAAGTGTCTAGGATCCAGAATGGGGATTCCCTGCTGGCTTAGTGGTAAAGAATCCACCTGCAATGCAGGAGATGCGGGTTTGATCCCTGGATTGGGAAGATCCCCCAGAGGAGAGCATGGCAACTCACTGCAGTATTCTTGCTTGAAAAATCCATGGACAGAGGAGCCTAGAAGGCTGCAGTCCATTGGGTTGCAAAGAGTTGGACACAACAGAAGTGACTAAGCATGCACACACGTGTGATTTTTGCTAATAAAATTTATGTTGTGAAATGAGGAAATCAGGATAATCTATTTGAGAAAGCTGTGTTATTGATCACTCACTTCAGCCTAATATTTGAATGTGCTTTCTCTTTTGCTCAGTTGTTCTGTCATGTCCGACTCTTTAGTGACCCTCTGGTCTGTAACCCACCAGGCACCTCTGTTCACGAGATTTTTCTCAAGAATACTGGAGTGGGTTGCCATTTCCTCCTCCAGGGGACCTTCCCCACCCAGGGATTCAACCCGAATCTCCTGCATTGGCAGGCAGATTCTTTACCCCTGAGGCACCTGGGAAGCCCAGGTTTATTCAATTAGATATCAAAACAAATCCAGTCTTGCCTTTTTTTGCTACTGCTAAGTCGCTTCAGTCGTGTCCGACTCTGTGCGACCCCATAGACGGCAGCCCACCAGGCTCCCCCATCCCTGGAATTCTCAAGGCAAGAACACTGGAGTGGGTTGCCATTTCCTTCTCCAATGCATGGAAGTGAAAAGTGAAAGGGAAGTCGCTCCGTCGTGTCTGACTCTTCGCGACCCCATGGACTGCAGCCTACCAGGCTCCTCCGTCCATGGGGTTTTCCAGGCAAGAGTACTGGAGTGGGGTGCCATTTGCTTTTTTAAGTCCATATAATTAGTGCTCATTAAAGAACAAACAAACGAAAAAACACTTCCAGGCTTTGGAGAGTGTGTTGACCTACCTCTGTGTCAGAGAACAAAGATTCTGTTGCCTTTCGAATAATCCTGTGACTGCTGGTAAATGGTCCCAAGCTTCGCTGTTAGCAGTAACAGTGCAGCTGGCGTTTGTTGGGTGCCCACTGTGTGCGTTCTCCTTGACAAGGTCACCGCTCACAAGTGCTACAGGAGGCCAGCCCTGGGTTTTTCCAGTGTTATCAGTACTGCTGCGAAAGAGACAGGCCAAGCAGCTTTGGTAATCTGCCTAACGTCAGAGGTAGTAAGTGGCACAGCTAATACACTGCGTAGAGACGTCAAGTATAACTTTCTACAACCGAAGATGTTCCCCTGCTCAGTGGAGACATTTAAAAATTGAACATGAAAATATAACATGAGAAATCTGTTGGAAGAAAAATGCAATCAAATTAGAGTTTAATCCAAATTATCAGAGTGCTGACTGAGGAACTTGTTTTGAAACGTACTGCCTTAAAGGAGGCATTTACTTTTTAAATTTTATTTTATTTGGCTGCACCATGCAGCATGTGACCTTAGTTCCCCAGCCAGGGATCGAACTGAGGTCCCCTGCATTGGAAGTGCAGTCTTAACCACTGAACCATCAGGGAAGTGTCCTAGGAGGGGGTCACTTTTAGAGGTCCATTGTATTACGAAACTCCTGGGCTGCATCTCACTTCAGTTCAATCGCTCACTCGTGTCCGACAATTTGTGACCCTGTGGACCACAGCACGCCAGGCTTAGGCTTCTCTGTCCATCACCAACTCCTAGAGTTTGCTCAAACTCATGTCCATCGAGTCGGTGAGGCCATCCAACCATCTCATCCTCTGTCGTCCCCTTCTTCTGCCTTCAGTGTTTGCCAGCATCAGGGTCTTTTCCAGTGAGTCAATACTTCACATCAGGTGGCCAAAGTACTGGAGCTTCAGCTTCAGCATCAGTCCTTCCAATGAACACCCAGGACTGATCTCCTTTAGGATGGACTGGTTGGATCTCCTTGCAGTCCAAGGGACTCTCAAGAGTCTTCCCAACACCACAGTTCCAAAGCATCGATTCTTTGGCGCTCAACTTTCTTTATGGTCCAACTCTCACATCCATAAAACCCATAGCTTTGACTCGGCGGACCTTTGTCCAGAAAGCAATGTCTCTGCTTTATAATATGCTGTCTAGATTGGCCATAGGTTTTCTTCCAGGGAGCAAGGGTCTTTTAATTTCATGGCTGCACTCACCATCTGCAGTGATTTCGGAAGCTAACATCTCAGTTAGCTTATGCTGAACCCTAAAGGGAAACAATTTGGGCCTTCATCTCAGACACATCGGTGTGAAAGGGGCACCGATGTCATGAGAATGTGGCCTTGGAAAAGAGATTTCAGTATGTCTCCATCCCCCAACCCCACCCTCGGTGATGTGTGGGAAGCAGCGTGTCCAGGCACCATTCATTTGTCTAACATAGCAAGCTGCCTCTCCAGTTCCCTAGGCTAAGCCTGCCTCCCTCCGAGACTCTGACCCTCCCCAGCTCCTGTGACAGGAAGGGGCTCCCACCTTTGCAAAGGAGGTGGTGTACAGAGTTTTCCCATTCCGTCAGCGTTATCGCAGCTTAGGCGCCCACTGTATTATATGCAAGAACATGAAACCACGTCACTCCCCACCGTGAAGGTCACTTTTCTATAGAATCTTTCATTCCTAATGGCCACAGTTTCATTTTTCTAATCATTTAGGTTATTCTTAGTATCCAGTCAAAGGTGGGGCATTTTATGAAAGAAATGATGGCCGGTGAATTCCTTTCAATGAGTGCACAGCGTGGAGAGAGGGAGATTTAGAGGGTGTTTTCACAGACTGTCTTCTGTGTTCATCTGAAATGTGTCATGACTGACGAATGTAGCCAACTTTAGTGTTTCTGACACATAAGAAAAACACAGGAAAGCAAACAGTTTCAGCAAGGCTTGGGCCCAGAAGCGAGACTCAGAGGCGGTCAGCCCGCAGGGAGGTGCCGGTTCTGCAGGGGCGAGGCGGGCTGTGCCAGCGAGAGACTGACGTTCTCGCTTCAGTCAGCGGAGGGTTTTTAAAAAAAGAGAACAAAACAATGAAACCTCTCTGGCTTTCCAGTGCCACTTTTTAGCTTCCAAAACAGGAAGAGGTTGTCAAGGAGGCAAAAGCATCCTGGAAGTGAGTCCTGGGGTGGATGGAGGGTTGTGTCCAGGAGTGTGGC